CACACACACACACACACACACACACACACACACACACACACACACACAGTATATATGAACTTACACACAGGTACCCGTGGTAGCCCTAGCTTGCCTTCGGTGGCTCAACGCCAGCAGCCACAGCAGCCGCAGCCTCCAAATGTGACACTCATGCCTGTTAGAAATATTTTCTAATACGAGCTCTCTGTCGAAGCAAAAATATCAATCAAGCCGAATCAAAACAAGCGAAATTAAAAGATATCCAGGTTTAATAGGACTCCTGCGCTCTAGGGTGGCCCCGAGGGGAACCTGGAAGCTGCCAACGCAACCACTGGGAGGAGAGGGAAGGCCTAGAAGGGACTTTCTGGGGAGCAGTTTAAATAGACTGGGGGGGAGCAGTTTAAATAGACTGGGGGAGGGGCTGGAGAGCCGGCTCAGAGGTTAAGAGCATTGCCTGCTCTTCCAAAGGCCCTGAGTTCAATTCCCAGCAACCACATGGTGGCTCACAACCATCTGGTGCCCTCTTCTGGCCTGCAGACATACACACAGACATAATATTGTATACATAATAAATAAATATTAAAAAAAAAAATAGACTGGGGGAGTAGTCCTGACCTCCTCTGGGGAGGGGTCAAGGTTTGGTGGGCTGCCTTGACCCTCCTTAGGTGGGGTGGGGTTAAGGTGCAAGGGGCACAGGGGCGGAGCCTGCAAAGACGGAGGCCCAGGATTTACAATGCCCTTTAAAAGGTCCCCCATATCAGAACCCAGTGTCTGTCTCCTGTTCTGTCTGTCTCTGTCTGTCTTTCACTCTGTCTGTCTCTTTCCCCTTCTTCCTCCCTCAGAGGTAGCCTCTGTATACCACCCCACAATACATTTCTCTCATTGGGGCTGGAGAGATGGCTCAGTGGTTAAGAGCTCTGGCTGCTCTTTCCGAGGATCTGGGTTCAATTCCCAGCACCCCACATGGTAACTGCCATCTGTCACAGACATACATGCAGGCACCCAATGAGCACAATGAGCATAAAATAAATTAGATATGTATATATGTGCCACTGCTGCCAGGGTCCCTTTTAAGATTTGAGGGGACAGCCGGGCGGTGGTGGCTCACACCTTTAATCCCAGCACTCGGGAGGCAGAGGCAGGCAGATCTCTGTGAGTTCGAGGCCAGCCTGGTCTACAAGAGTTAGTTCCAGGACAGGAACCAAAAGCTAAGGAGAAACTCTGTCTCGAAAAACCAAAAAAAAAAAAAAAAAAAAAA